ATCTAACAGGCAGCCCCTCAAAAAGGTATACATGGAGTTATTGCGTGACTCCGCTATTCTTCACCTGGGTGTGAATCAGTTGCATATGACAGCGTATATTCTGAGCCACACGTGCTGGCACACGCCTGTACTCCTACCACTCAGGAGCTATGACAAGAGGATTGAAATTCGAGGCCAGCCTGGATTATCTAACTGAGTTCCAGACCAGACAAAGATGACCTCACCCCAAAAGAGAAAATATGGGGGTGGAGAGATGACTCAGGGGTCAAGGGCATTTGCTGCTTTTGGAAAGGCCCAGCACCCTCATGGTGGTTTACAATTGCCTGTGACTCCAGGTCCAGGGGATTCAGTGGCTTCCTGTATGTACTTGGTGGTACACACGTGTACATAAATAAGCAATTTATGTAATAAGAAAAGATATACATGCAAATGTTCATTTAAGCAAATGTTCATTTAAGCATCATTTATAATAGCCGACAGGTGGAAATCATCCGAATCCCCACCAACCAATCAGTGGCTACATAAAACGTGACTCCACACATTTAGAATAGTATTCAGCCATAAAAAAAAAATAGAATATTTTTACATGCCACAGTATGGCATATGAATGGTTGAACACTGAAAACCTCATGCTAAGGGGAAGAAGACGGACACAAAGGTCACACAAATTGTGTGATTTCATTTATATGAAATTTCCAGACTAGAGGAACATTCACAATGACAGTAAATTAGTGGCCCCTGCGGGGGGTGGGGTGGGGGTGTATGCTGGCTGCGCAACACCATGATCATTTCAGAACTGTGAGCTTGATTGTGAATTCTAATATTAATCAAACAATTCAATAATAACTAAGTTCACCTTACAAAAAGAGGGGGAAGGGGCTTGAGACACCCACTGTTCAAGCTGAAAAGACTGCTGCTAGGAAAACCCTGAAATGGCTTCCCAAGCCCGAAGTCAAGGTGGAGGCCTCCAAAAAAACGAAAAGCTTCGTGACCACTCTCACTCCCAAAACCCCAAACGCCAGAGCTCAGAAAGCTAAACGAGCAGGTATGATTGTCACTGACCAGGCCTGACCTGGGCACAGTCACCAGAGGATGGAGGCGAGAACCCCTGCAGTACTGCCAGCCCCACACTTCACGCCCTCTTTCGACTCTTTGGCACCTACATCCTTGCTCTGTGCTCCAGAAGCCCCTGAGACAGCATTTGTCACAGCATCTTCACGACTGAGGAGTCACTTGAACCTTTGTCTCTCCTGATTTGGGAAACGAGTGGCTTTAAAATTAGCCCCTCTTGCGTGGTCTGGACTCAGCTCAACACCTCCTCTGGCAGAACTCCAAAGAAAGCGGGTGAGGGACAGGAGGCCTGTGCCACATTTGTCAGAGGAGGGTGGAGCCCCAGGAAGAAGGAGCTGAGGACACAGCTCAGGAACTCGTACAACCATCTTCTATCTCTAGGCCACTTTCCAGCAAGGTACATATCTCCTGTTCCCTTGTTCTGCCCCATCTCTCTAGCCACACCTCCAATGCCAAGCTGAATGCCAAGATGGACAGAATACAAATGGTTGGAGGTGGCACTCACCACCCCCGGGAGATTGTCAGATCGGGGAGGCAGGTCTGGAGACAAAGTCCAGGCCCCAGGCCTGCTGTGGCCAATGGGTGAGCAAGTCTTCCTTCATCCCACTCCACTCCTGCCTGTCCCAAAGTGAGAAGGTGAGCAGGGAAACTCAGCCCTCCCTTGGGGTTCTGACCACCTTGTGAGGAGACTATGATGGCCCTGCCGTTGCCATGCCAACTGTGATATCACTCCTCTCATCATTCCATCTGGGTGGATCCCCCCCCCCCTTTCCTTAAAGGACATCCTTTTACCAGTGTCTGTCTAGGGACCTACCAAGAGGTTAGCTGCTCCGGGTAAACTATGCTGTCTGGACTGTGTGGCCTCAGGGGAGCAGCTCCTGGGATACAGCAAGCCCTGCTCCCAGGACAGCTGATCCGCTAACTGGAAGCAGAACCAATGAAATGCTTTTAACATCTCCTATCAGATAGCAAGGAAGAGACAGAATGTGGTCAGGGCCTAGCTTGGCTTCACAAGCCAGATGAAGCCACTTTCTAAGAAAAATAAGGGCAAAGAACAACAAAAAAGGGAGGTATAAATCCCACACTTGAGCTTGGACAGGGGAATGTCCAGGAGAAGAAAATCATTCCCCAAAAACCGGCTGTTATGTTGTCCACTACGAGTTGGGGTTCCCGCAGGGAAAGTACATCCTTGTCTTTGTACTTAGACTGACAGGCTGCCAGAGACCTAGTCCCAGCCTTTTAGGAACTCACAATGTTGCTGTTCACAAAGACAATGGCAACAACGGCTCATGAAAAGAACCTGACCCTCCAGGCAGATAAACCAAGGCTCTAGAAAACCAGTCTGTCTGTGGCCAGGAGGCTCAGCATACAACTTGTGGGCAAAGAGCAAGGGCGATGGCCCTGGCCAGGTAGACCTCATTCTAAACCTTCAAGTGGGGACCACGGCCTGTAGCTAGCACACCGTGGGCAGAGGGGCCCAGAGCCGGCATTCCTGCAGTACGGTTAAGTTTTATGAAACAAGCCTATTCCCGGAAGTCCACTGTTGAAGTCCAGTGCCTTGAGGGAAAGAGTCGTCCTCTTATCACACTGACCGAATCCAGATTCAAACGACAGAGGGGCCGTCACCAAAGTGGTATCAGCAGTGCTGCCTTCAGCCTAAACCTGCCACACAGACCTGCCCTTGCCTTTCTAGTACACCGCTTGCTACTCAAAAAATACAAATTCTCTCTATGGGATGGGGGGTTAATATGGGGCTGTATGTGCAGTACACATGGCCCTTTCATGCATGCAGAGGCCAGAAGAGGATATCTCCCTGTCCTACTCCATCACTACTACCGGATTCCCTCAAAGCAGGATCTCTCACTGAACTGGAACCAGACTAGTGACCAACAAGCCCCGGAACCCCTCCACTTTCCACCCTCCAGCCCCCTATACATAGTCTTCTAATGGTTAGGATAAAGGTCATATCTCCACCTTACAAAGGAAGAACTAAGGAAGAGGAGATACACGGAGCCGTCCCAGGTGACATCGTTTTGCAGAACTGTGACTCTGACCTTAAGAACTCCCTTTGGGGTGCTTTTGCTGACAACAAAGGTACAGGTAATGGACCTTGTCCAAAGGTCCTTGTTCAAAGGTCCATTACCGGGCCACCAAACAAGCCACTCCTGACAGTTCTATTGTGGTTTGTGAGGCCGGGGTATGGCAAGTTGAGGTAGAAGACAGAGCCTCAGGAGAACCCAGCCACTTGCTTCTTGCTCCCCAAGCAGCTGATGAGATGGTTCTGGGTCCAGATGTCACACTCAGTAACACTGTGCTTCTTTTTAACGAGCATCAGCTCCTACCTGTCCCAAAGGCAGGACAGCAAGATGGATGCCATGCTTTGCCGAGCAGCCTGCTCCCCTGGGAACAAGATCTCAAGCACGCCCACACGCATACACGCACCCTAATGTACACTAGGCCTACGCCAGCAAGCATACACAGGAAACAGTTACCAGGTGGTGACCTGAATAGTTTGAACAGCAAAATACACCTGTGAAAGAGGGTCCTGCAGAACTCCGAGCTAAGATCTGAGCACGCTAGTGCTCAGAGCTAGGACTCCACAGACCTGGACTCGTTACTGCACTGCCAAGCACAACCACGTGTGAGCTCAGTATGTGTGCGTGTGTGCGTGTGTGCGTGTGTGCGTGTGTGTGTGTGTGTGTGTGTGTGTGTGTGTGTGTGTGTGTGTGCTCAGCCACCCGCTTCTCACCAGGGTCCTTGACTATTGACCGCGCTAACATGGATGGTAAATGCTTCCATTCCACTTTGGAGCCCAAGCCCTTGCTTTTCCTAGGCTATCTGGCCCAGGAACCCAGCATTTTGTTCTTTTGTTTGTTTGCTTCTCTTCATTCACACGCATATTCACGGATTTCTTCATGCACAAATATGCATATTCAAATGACATTTGATTGTTACACTATTTCCCTTCACTCTACCATCTCAAACAAGCGAATTCATCTCTGCTGACCAGGGAGCTCACAGCCATAGTCGGGTTCTTAGGTTCTTTTTTTTTTTTTTAATAAATTATTTACTTTTATTTGCATTCATGTTTTGCCTGCTTGTGTCTATGTGAGAGTATTGGATCCCCTGGAACTGGAGTTACAGACAATTGTGAACTGCCATGTGGGTGCTGGGAATTGAACCCGGGTCCTCTGGAAGAGCAGGCAGTGCTCTTAACCCCTGAGCCATCTCTCCAGCCCCGTTATTGGGTTCTTAAGTCCCTTAAAAGCTGAGGTCTCAATCCCATGGTGCTACTGGGATATAGTAAAGCCTTTAAGAGTTGAGGTCTAGTTGAGTCCCTGGAGGATGTGAGTTTCAGGACTCCCTTCTCTTCCTCTCTCTCTTTCAATGTTAGGTGTTTCACCCACTGAGCCTCATCTCCAGACCCTTTTCCCACTCTCTCACTTTGGGGATCATGAGGTAAAAGGTTTGCTCCCCAAGATGATCCTACCATAATGTGCTACATTTGCCCCCACAGTTCTGAAGCTAAGGGGCCAGTGGGTCATGGGCTGAAATGTTGCAAACTGTAAGTTAAAAATATACCTCTTTATGACAGAACCCTGACCGACATGCTGAGTTAATGTATCAGTTTCCTCTAGGTTGAATATTGTTTGTTTAAAAAAATATTGTACACATCCTTTCCCCTTTTGTTTTCCTACTGTAGTTACACTTTTATAGATTTATAAAATCCTTTTACTGGTTCTCTTGTGAATCAAGGTAGGAAGGTACCATAGCCCTTGAGTCATTCCCTTACTGATAATCATTATGTTTTAATTCTTGGCTGTTACAACGAAAAGGAGAGTGTTTTAGTCAATGACCTATTTCTGTGAAAAGAACAGTAATCGTAACAACTCTTTTAAAAGGAAAACATTTAATTGGGGCTGGCTTACAGGTTCACAGGTTTAGTCCATTATTGTCATGGCAGGTGTCATGGTGTCTTGCAGGCAGACGTGGTGCTGGAGAGGTAGCTGAGCGTTCTACATCTGGATTGGCAGGCAGCAGGAAGAGAGAGAGAACCAGTGGGTCTCGCTTGGGCATCTGAAACTCCGAAACCCACCGCCGGTGACACACTTCCTCCATCAAGTCCACAGCAATCCAACAAGGCCACAGTTCCTAACGCCTTTCCCAAACATTCCAATAGATGAGTTTATGGGGGCCAATCTTAAAGCACCACAAGAAGTTCTTCAAAGTATCCTTTCTTTAAAAAAAAAAACAAAAAACAAAAAAAACAAAACTTTTTGTTTGTTTGTTTGGGCAGGGTCTTGTGTAGCCCAGGCTAGCCTCAAACTTGATATGTGTAGCTATGATGACCTCAAACTTCTGACCTTCCTGCCTCTACCTCCTAAGTACTAGGAACGCAGGCATGTGCCACCGTGCCCAGTTTATACAGTACAGGGGATGAAACCTGAGCCTTCGTCCAAAGAGCATTTTCTAAACAGACAAAACAAATACCAAGATGTCAATACCTCAGGATGAGGTCACAGTGAGGTGGTAAAGCTTCCCCTGAGTTCTTCTTAGAAAAGACACCCCTACTCCCAGAGGGATTCTGACTTCCAAACAGCAATGTCTTCCAAGGTCCTCCTGGATCAGGACAACTGCCATTTTCATTTATTTGTTTCTGCTAAAACCTACCCACTGCATGTATCACCAAGAGGTTAACGTTTTTCTCTGACCCCAGAAAGACTCTCCATCCAACACCAACAGAAGGCGGGAAATGTGACGCTTTTTCTACCTATCACAAAATACCAGCTTCAGGGGAGAGGACCCCCTGACTTCTGCCAATGCCACGCCCAGCAGGTGGCAGCTACTCTGTCTCTCCTCTATCAGAGAAGCTCTAGAAAGAACCTCAGGACTTTCCCCAAGAATAAAGTTCTCAGGCTGGAGATGGAGCACGGTGGTAGAAGACTGCTTTCCCAGCATGCCTTAGGTCCGATTTGACTGCCTAGGGCCCAGTCCAAAAAAAAAAAAAAAAAAAGTCCTCCCCAGACTCCTTGGGGGGGCCTTTACCAGCCACCACCCATTTCACTTATCCCTGCTAAATGCCCCTTAGTCCCTTAGTATTCGGCATGCTTTTGGTTGCAACCCCTAGCCACAATTTAAGGTAAGAGTAAGTTCATCTGCTACGGACTACATTTCCCAGCATCTCTTGCAGCTAGATGTGGCCATGTGACTAAATTCCAACCAGTAGGATAGTAATTGCGCCTTCTCACAGACAAGCAGCTTGCCTTAAGATTTCCTCACCTCATACCTCCCACACCGCGAGAGAGAGAGAGAGAGAGAGAGAGAGAGAGAGAGAGAGAGAGAGAG